ATAAATGCGTCAAACTTGCCAAGCATATACAAATCATGAAGTACACTTTTTAAAGGCTGATAAACAAAAAATGACAGATCTCCTTAGAAACAAGAAAGAACAAAACAGAAAAAAGTGAAAACTTTTTTCTACGGATTTGTTTGCTAAGGTGTCAAACAGATGAGGACCATGCTGAACATTCTTGCCTACCTTACATCCTCCCCAACTAAAATTTATCTTTTGAGTACCACTTTTATGTAAACTCTGTTAATGTACCTGTTGTCATTTCATTTTGAGTTCATGCCGGTCTTATAGGTTTGCCAAATACTCGAATTCCTGAGATGACATATCCTTTTATTTGTTCATGATGGGCCTCATTGTTGCATTTCATGTTTCAATACATGATAGCTAAAACCTCGGTGGTCGATTGTTGTTTCCACACAATAGTCAACGCAAAAGTGCATGCATGGTATTTTTTTTTACCTAAAGTTTATTCTATATATGAAGTACCTTTACTTTTTTTATTCTAGCATCACTGATGAGTTTTTGCAGGAGAAAACGCGCAGATGGTGTACAAACTATAAGCCTGGTATCTTTCATGAGTTTTTGAAGACGAAAACGTCCATATGGCGTACGCAATTATAAGCCTGTTACCTTTGATGAGTTTTTTACCAGAGTTTTGTGAATTTGGTAAATAGCAAAAAAGATATAGAAAGTGAATTACATTTTGATATGGAACGATGAAACAATAAAGTGAGCCTCCTCATGGGGTTTTTGATTATGTGATTACTTGGCCGTTTTTATAGTGATTATTTGATTACCAGATCAAATATTTCATGATTATATGATTATTTGATAATCTTGTTTAAAAAATAGTTAATGAGTATGTGATAATATTGGCAAAAAAATTGTGATTAAGTGATTATATTGGCAAAAAAAATGTGATTATGTGATACTAACTTGGACACCCCCATGAGGGGCCTCTTAAGTCGGGTGGAAATTATTACGTGTTTACATAATCAAGACGATGTTCTTGAAGTATAATCATACCCTGCTCTGCCTGATTTTTTTTATGAACAAGCTGACAGCTAACAGTCCACAGGAAGACATGTCACCCTACCTGAACTCATTTTTCTGATTCCGAGCAAACCATTCCTTGCTCATAATCTTAAATGTCACCTGCTTGATGGAGAAGCAGCAGATACCAATTTCAAAGTCTCTGGTTTGACCCGACCGGTGTCAAATCGTAACTGAAATGTAATTAAGAATTGAATGCTTCTGTTTGTAATTTAATTGTGGTGTAAAAGCGTTGATCGGAGCACATTTTATATGAAACGCGAGAGCACTTCATATTAAAAATGTGCACTCGATGAACGTTATTACAACCCAATAAAATTATAAAAAGAAGCATTCAATTATTATGATTACATTGTTATGATTCAGCTATAACCATAAAATAAAGAGTTATGTCAAGCTTTTCGTTTGTTTTTCAATGCATTGTTTTAAAATTGCCATGGAAAGCACGTGCAGTCATTGTTGTTGTATTTTATACTGAAATAAAATATAATATTGGAGTGCCTTGCGATTGTTATCAATCAATCAACATTTTTCTATTCTAATAATTAAAACATACATGTTATGTAATTATAAGATAATAAAAGAATGATCATACACCAGAGCAACAATGTTAAGATAAAAAACTATAGGATCGGTGTTATTGTTTGTGTCCAACCTGTTTAAATTCAAACTTTGCAAAGACTATTTCAGGTGAATACAATCATTTAAAATTTTTCAGTGAAAAAAATTCTAAATTAGCTTAATCATCATGGAAGCTTATCATTGTTGATTCAAAATGTACTTCAGAAAATTAATTGTTTTTGAAATAAAGTCAGACGTACACATTACAATAAGCAAAACAAATGTTTATCTTTATTGGTAAGACAATAAACTTATCTAGTTAGCAAGTTTTGACAACGTAGTGTATTATAGATCGAGTGTACTTTCATTTGTTACACAGAAGTCATAACTTGATAAATTCTTTACTTTGATAACATGTGTGACGATACTACACTTAATTAAAGTCAAACTTCCTCCTTCCTTTATACCCTATTGAATACGACTAAGTCTGTTTCTTATTTGTGAAATCGTGACCTATTGAAATTTAAGAATATAATTGTTCAGATTTGTTATGTTATACACTTGTTAAAGTTAAAACCATTTAAAACCTGTTTGTAACTTCCTTGAATGTTTTTGTTTGGACCCAGATTGTGTAATGTCAAAATATAAGTATCGACAGGATGTTGGACAGTTAGTGTTTATAATTGTTTAGCAAAGCATAGTATTAATAATATATATATATATATTGGAAGATCTGACTACAGTATATGATTGACAAGCTTTACGAATAAGGTATTAAAAGGATTTACAAGTTATCATGAATCGTAGTCTCTATTTATGAGCGGTATAAACAACATCCCTGTAGGATTTGATATAGAGTTTCTACAGGTACAACACAACTTCCTAACCCACTCCTTGTATCAATGAACAAAATTAACAAAGGTTTTGAGTAATTTGTGATTACAAAACCCTTGGCATGTTAATTTAGGGGACGACCACTTGATTTTCGGGGGGTGGGTTGACAATGAATAAATTGGCCTGCTCAGAACTGATAATAAATAACTCTGCACAGACAAAAAAAAAAAGATCAATCCGGAAAAAAATTCTCCTGGTCATCCGGTCATCCCAGAATATCAAATGGTCGTCCCCTTACAAGTTATACATAGATTAGGTTCGTGAAAATACACAACCTCATAACAGACACGGTCATATAGCGAACGAGCTGTGGGAAATATACATACTGTAAGAAGGGACTTGAGAAACATCACCGTAAAATAAGAGAAGAAAATTGACAATAAGGAACGACGACAATCGACTCTTTCGTCGTAAAATGTTTATAAGGTTTTCCGTGTGAAACTGAAATATAGAAATTTAGAAAAGAACAATTATTGCTGTTTATATTTGTTTTTTTCTATTTTCAAAGTAAAAAACTCATTAGGGTAATGGATAATTTTATCATATTTTTCAATCAGATGAAATCTTACTGAATTTGGCTATAAACTGTGATTCTTAGCAACACAGTAACAAGTCTGCTATTAAATTGGGACAGTTTGGAGCCCATAGGAATACCTACAAAACTGTCGATAAACGTTGTTGCCGAAACGGACATAGATGTTGCCGAGGAGAAAATTTACAGCTTTTATCATCAGATCACAGATCTAGTAATTATATCTACCATATTTACTAGAAGAAGGCTTTTTATGAGTTGCCGCAAATACATTCGCAACAGATTTTTCAAATTTTTTTAAAGACCTTTTATTGAACTAAAAAATCACCTGTTTGATTAGATTGAGTGGAAGTGTAGTATAAAGAGTCGAAAACTCATAAATGTCAACCGAATTAAAGGACATGAAGCACGTGATTTATCTAAGACATAAAAAATACTCAACTCCATTGTTTTAGAATGCTTCTTTAAAAAGTTAAGAAAAAGTTCTTAGATTGTTGTAAGGAAACTTGTTGTAAAACACTTACTAGAGGCAGACATGAAACGATGGTTGACAATTTGATGTGTAGTTTATGTAACTCATACATAGTATAGACTTTTAATGTCCACCTTAAGCTAATCAAACATAGACAGTTGACAGCAGGAAAACCGAAAATATTGTGGATTTCTCTCATAAGCTCTTGATTTTGAGACATCAGTTATCGTTAATTGCACTTACTCCATATACCAACTATCAGTCCAATATCGATACCTAGATCTCTGACGACCTCTTTGAGGATTTGCTGAACCGAACAATCTTAGACTAGATGACTAGATTACAGTAGGATCTATTGGTGACTGGTATTTTTACAGTAGGATCTATTGGTCAATGGTATTTTTACAGTAGGATCTATTGGTCAATGGTTTTTAGGATCTATTGGTGAATGGTATTTCAACAGTAGGATATATTGGTCAATGGTTTTTAGGATCTATTGGTGAATGGTATTTCAACAGTAGGATCTATTGGTCAATGGTATTTTCATAGTAGGAGGATCTATTGGTGAAAGGTATTTTTACAGTAGGATCTATTGTGGATGGTATTTTCACAGTAGGATCTATTAGTCAATGGTATTTTTACAGTAGGATCTATTGGTCAATGGTTTTTAGGATCTATTGGTGAATGGTATTTCAACAGTAGGATCTATTGGTGAATGGTATTTTTACAGTAGTATATATTGGTGAATGGTATTTTTACAGTAGTATAATATATTGGTGAATGGTATTGTTACAGTAGGATCTATTGGTCAATGGTATTTTTACAGTAGGATCTATTGGTGAATGATATTTTTACAGTAGGATCTATTGGTGAATGGTACTTTTACAGATGGATCTATTGGTGAATGGTACTTTTACAGTAGGATCTATTGGTAACTGGTATTTTTACAGTAGGATCTATTGGTGAATGGTATTTTTATAGTAGGATCAATTGGTGAATGGTATTTTTACAGTATTTGTTTGATAACTTTCCCTATTTATCTACTTTGTATATCGTAATAACGTTTTTGAAAAAAAACTAAATTTACAAATTTTGCAAAAAATGCAAATAACTCCTGTAACTTGAATATCACGTTAACTATTGAAGTCAATTAAAATGATTTCCTTAAAAACATTTTATCGATAGACGGAAAATACTCGGAAAACTATATGAGAATACTCTTAAAGAATTAGATGTATTATAATGCAATATAAGATGTCCTATCGATAGCATTCTTAAGACATATGTGTCATTTTTAAAATATACATGTAACACTAAACCTTGCTATTCTTTAGGGTAACTGCTTTCCTGAATGACACCGTAGAAATACATTTTGTTAAAAGAATTCAAATCTTAACAGTCTAGCTATCTAGGTCATTCTTATACCTGTTATTTATTTTTGAACAGGTAAATACCCACTCAAGGAATATCCCATGATTTTAAAGATTATACTCAAAATTTAAATCATCATATTAACTATGTAAACGGACGCTTCAGAAATGTGTGTACTTGTAAAAGTATTTTAACTGTTTGAAAGTTTTTATAACTACCAATAATGACATCTGAACGGATTGCTTATTATAAAAATTGCTTCTATATAACAAAATGTAAGTACTAAGTCTTGTAAATAATCCACAGTTAGAACGTTTAATATATTTGATATATAGACAAAATGCTAAAATAGATTTTCTCTCTGGATGATCAAATTTGGAATGAAATTACGTTCGACACTAAAAAAATCATTTTTATGTTCGATAACGGTAATCTCAACAGAATTTGTCTAGCTCATCAGGTCTAAGGATCCCAAGTTGATTTGATTTGATTTTTTGTGTTTTAACGCCACTTTTAAGCACCTCTTTTGGGCTATTTCGTGGCGGCTAGTTTTTATTGGTCGAGGAAGCCGGAGTGCCCGGAGAAAACCACCGACCTTCGATAGGAAAACTGACAATCCTAGTCTATGAAGATTGGAGTCGAGTGCACGCGCACGAGCGGGGTTCGAACTCACAACCTCAGTGTTGACTGGCTAGTGATTACAGTAGTAACTACTTAGACCACTCGGCCACCGAGGCCCCGGATTCCAAGTTAACTTTACATTTAAATATTTATCTTGTCCTACTTTTTAAAGAAGAACAAGAATTCTCACAAGTATTTATTATAATAGCTTATAAACAGGTGTTACTTTATAAAAAAACTATAAAGAGAAAGTGGCAGTTGGGTTTGAAAAATCTTGTCCCCGAAGATTAAAAATATTTTAGTTCCTTAAGATTTTGCAGTTTTACACATATTTACACATCTTACCAAAAAGCTTTCCAACATTTATATTTTTGTAATAATGGCAATATCCGAGCAATTCAAATATTTCTTTAATTTTGTCATCAGCACAATATGCTGCGATTCAGAAGACATAGATATATGTACCAATATTATACAATTTTATGTACAATTTATCTCGATAACAGGAAATTGGATGAACATGACTTTTTGTTATGAATTGCACTTTAAATGATATAATAGAATATTAATAAATCATTGACAATACTTTCAAGAGGAAGGATTTTAATATGGAAACATGGATTATCAGTACGGATTATTTTGTATTGTATATTTTTAGTTGTTTACTTCCTTACTAATCGGATGGCGCCTCGGAAACTATGGATGATCAATTCTCATTGTTGAGGTAAAATGATCATTATGGTCCGAGTACACAGTTATTTCGTAGTGCATTTCTTTTAGACAATAAATGAAAATTAAAAAAATCCCACCTGCGCTTTCTCAATAATATTTTTACAGTGTGTTGTACTACTTTTGGGACAAATTATATCAAAATTATAGAAAACTTCATCGGCTCTAACTCAAAATATGGACAATTTTATGTTAAGGGGGTCTTGAAATCTTTTGACAGCTTCCGAAGTGCTAATTTTTAACCTTTTTCAGCTGGACCAAATCACTACTTTACCTTAAAATTCATGACCCAAATTTTTTTACAGTGTAATTTCATCCCCCTACTTGCTATTTGAGGCATAAAACATGGAGAAATAAATTTGGAAGGGGTATAAAAAAAACTGGCAAGTAACACACTGTCCACACTAGGGACTATATGTGTGGACAACGAAAATCAAAGGACGATAACTGTGTACTCGGACCTTATTACTAAATGTTACTGATATAATCTCCGAGATTTTATTGCCACACGTCTAGAAGTCATTGAAATTTCATATTAAGGATTCAAAGCTTCTATCAATATATATTTATTGTAATCTGGTTTATCGGTACTGGTTATATTGTATTTCGACAGTCACTTCCTCATTTTTAAATAGGAATCTTATAAGCATGACTTATTCATAATTGGTTTACAATTATTCAATTGTTTACAAACGGTCATTCACTATTCTCTTTGTTTTTATTACATACTTATAGTCTTATAGTCGTAGGTATGAGAGTAAGTAAGGTCAAATTCAATCTGTTTTATTTCCGTATGTAGTAAACTTCAAGCTTCCTGCTTGAATTACTTAAAAAACACAAAACCACATTGACAAACAGTCGAAAACGAGCGTATAACTTTGGTTCATATTATTACATGATAACTAAGTGACAATCAACTGAATAATATATGCTATTTGAGTACTCGTATACAATAACACAATTCGACGTAGCTTAGAGAAAAGTGTCAATTAGCTGAGAGATGAGATGTATCGACGTTTAGTTCTTCTAGAGTGGTACCTTTTAATTAAGAAAAAAATGTTTATAGGAAGAATTCCATATTTTGCATTTTATTTTCCAAATTCAAGTATCTGTTACGGGTGACACATATCCTTTAATTCATTCATGAATAAACAAAACTTGCGATTTTTCATTAGTTTATTAGAGTGATACACTAATCATGGCAAAACAATGATAACAAACGTTCGACAGACCAACGGCTTCAGACAGTGTCAGGATTTGTACCGTTAAAAAAATTGTTCCATCTTTAATTTAGTACAGTGAAATGAGGCCAGTCGCAATTTCAAAAATGCACCAAAAGGTCAAAGAAAAGTCTTCATCCTCAGAAATGTATATACTAAATATGTCAAGCACATGATTCTCCCTAATTTTTTAAGGTTTGTGTGAATAAAGTAAACAAAACCTGATAAAAAATTTACTAAACAATAACTTCTAATAATAACAAAACATTAGATATGACCACTGATAAAAACACAAATGGGTCATCATAAAAAAAACATGCAAAACTATGTTATTTTGGTCTTTTTAAGTCACAGACATGAAAATATATCAAAATAACACTTGTATATGTTAGATATGAATGTTTTGTGATACACTATATACAGTTTACAGTATGAAATGTTATAAAAACATCCTTAATGTTTTCTTAAACCCTTGGATATAGCCAGAATTTACTGTTATTTTTTACTAAAATATCTTTCAGACCTGAAATAGGACTATTGTTCATATCATTTGTTATTAGGATTTATCACTATTTATTGCATTTTGATACATACAAACATTTTTAATGATTTGGGAGGTGTATGTTTGTTTTATAATAAAACATTTCAACAAAATGAAGAGTCTCATTTTTTTAAGTCACTGGTGTAACCAAAAGACAAATTGGTTGGGTAAGAGTTATCTTTCTCAAGATTTCAGCATTTACAATAGTTTCTCTTCTAGCAATGTTATCTGTAAGCATGTTATTCAAAAGAAAAATAAATCAATGTTGAAAATTTAGTGAAAAAATCTTAAAAGTAAGTGAAAGCTATATCGTAAATGAAAATAGTGTCCATGGTGTACCCTTATAAAAATCATTTTCCGAAAGATTTCCTGAACTTTGATTTATGAAAAGATATTGATTGTAGAAACATGCACCAGGAACAACATATAAAATAGGGGAATGGAACACTTAATTTGTAACTAAATCTAAAAATACACCTGTAAATCATTGGTGTTACTGTTAATGGTGAGACCACTTTAATAAAATAACACCACTGACCAGTTTAGTAACACCACTGAATATGTTATGACAATCAACATTTTTTTGTGTTTCTTTCATGTTTGACAAGCGAAAAATCATATCATTTATGAAATATAATACTTATTTAACAATGTTTTAACAATATAATGTATTACATATACAAAGTTTTCACAAACTGGTGTATGCTTGTAACACCAATGACACTATTTAGTAACACTATTGACATTTTTAGTTATTGATGTTATGTTATATAATTTGAGATTTTTTAGCCTAAGAATTATTTTTTTTTCTTTTTCTTTTGCTCAGTTTTCTTTGTTTTGTGTTCAGTACTTAATAAAAGTAAAATTTGAAATGTGTTGTCAATGGTGATACTTTTGTGTCATTGTAGTTACTGAAGGGTCAGTGGTGTTACTATATAAAAATGCAATAATTTTTATTTTTTTTATTAACAAATGAAAGTGTTTTAGGTCGTATACGAAGGATTAGGCATTATCTAATCATTCAGTCTTACAAATTTTACATATATTTAGTTTAAGTGTATTTTTTAATATTAACAACGGCCATAATTAGGACAGCCAACTTTTTTACAACAATTTACTCTGAAATTTATGTTTAAATAGAATGCATACCTATGAAAATAATGTCATTAAGTAGTAATTTTAACCTTATTAAATAACAACAAATTGGAACACATTTTTGATATTTAACAATATTTTTAGTAAATAAATGCATGTTTTATATTGGTAACACCATTGACATGGTTCTATCAGAGGATGACCTAAATTTGTTAAAATTGCTCAAAAAGGTCAAAGAAAATTTACATTCTCATGTAAAAATCAGTTTACAAAAAAAAGTAAAATCACTAAAATACTGAACTCCGATGAAAATTCAAAAAGGAAAGTCCCTAATCAAATGGTAAAATCAAAAGCTCAAACACATCAAACGAATGGATAACAACTGTCATATTCCTGACTTGGTACAGGCATTTTCTTATGTAGAAAATGGTGGATTGAACCTGGTTTTATAGCTTGCTAAACCTCTCACTTGTCTGACAGTCGCATCAAATTCCATTATATTGACAACGATGCGTGAACAAAACAAACAGACACATTTCTCGCTGCATTGAAGACCTGTTGGTGACCTTCTGCTGTTGTCTGTTCTATGGTCGGGTTGTTGTCTCTTTGACACATTCCCCATTTCCATTCTCAATTTTACAATAGGTAAAAATGTCAAAAATAGGGGTACAGCAGTCAACATTGTGTTATCATCTTAATCACTATAAAAACAAACAAATGTAACGAAGAAGCACAAAAAGGCATACATCAAATTTAACATCCTCATTTTGCTTTTTTATTATACGATTTTATTTATCTATGTAAAATCCACCCATAAAGGATGGAAGGTTTTAAGTACTGGCGGAAAATCGCGCGTTTGAAATTCGCACAGGTAGACATAAAATAATTTTGTCGTTCAAAGTATGACGGGATATATAAGTACAGAGTCACGTAAAATGGATATCACAAAAACAGACTTAACAGTAAAAGTAATATTAATAAATAAAATAAAATAATATTTTGTGGTTCAAAGTATGACGGGATACATAAGTACAGAGTCACGTCAAATGTATATCACAAAAAAAAAACAGACTTAACAGTAAAAGTAATATTAATAAATAAAATAATTTTGTCGTACAAAGTATGACGGGATACATAAGTACAGAGTCACGTCAAATGGATATCTCAAAAAAACAGACTTAACAGTAAAAGTAAAATTAATAAAGACAAATAAAAGAATACTATAACACGTTATTAAGATGATAAACAACGTTAGTACGCAGAATCTATACTTCAAGACCATCGTGTATTATTTGTGAAGTTGATACGGAATATTTATCAACAAGGTCTTGGTACCTTCCGATGAACTTTTTTAGAAAAAGGACGAGACTAAACCCTTATAGTTTAGTTTGTAATGTAGCAATATTTTACTATGTATGATCTCTAATGTATGTAGGAAGTGGACTTTAAAAAGAAAACAAAACGTGGGCGATTCACGGAAAAAGAAGAGTAATTGTGTTTTGTAACTTATTCTAAGGATAAATACCCATAGAGTTCATTTATTAACCTTCAATAATGTGCTTAAAATACTTAAACATTTTAGGAAGTTTTAAAAGAGAATTTGAACTGACAAAAAATATACGTTGATCTAACATTAACACCAAATGGCCAAATACAGTAGGAATAATGCAGAAACCACTCCTAATTCGAACAGCAAGCTATAAAGGGCCCCAAAAATTACTAGTGTAAAACCATTCAAACGGGAAAACCAACGGTCTAATCTATATAAAAAACGAGAAACACTTATGAACCACATCAATAAACGACAACTACTGAACATCAGATTCCTGACTTAGGACAGGTGCATACAATTGCAGCGGGATTAAACGTTTTAATGGTACCAAAACTTCACCCTTATCTGAAACAATAGTGTAACATCACAACATAGAAAGACACACTATAAAATATCAATTGAAATGGCTTAACTCAATCAAAAGACATATTAACACCAGTAAACATACACTGAACAAATAAATTTGATCTATGATACAATGTAAATACAAAATAAATAAACTAAGGAAAGAATAATTAAAGTAACATGTTATACCGCTGTGAAATGTTAAACAATTTAAGAAAAACAATATGCTTAAACAAAAATATCAGCCATTTGAAATTACTTTAAACACAGGTAAATGAAAATAATTTTGTTGTTAGGTAAATGTTTTTAAGCTCAGAAGTTCGTAAAACAAAACTAATCGCTAAAATGAGAGTCTCAGTGATTCAGATGATAGTCAAACAGATATGTAACCATAAGAGAATCGGCGCCGGTTTTCTGTTTTCATTTTGAAAGATATTTAGCAATTGCGCAAAATTACAAATTTTGATTGCAATATTTTCTCAGATTAGCACAATCATATAATAACTACATTGTTGAAGGCCTTACGGTGCCCTATACTATAGTTGAAAATTTCTGCTTTGGTCACTTGGGGAGAGTTGTCTAATTGGCAATCATACAACATCTTCTTATTTTTATACATACAGAAAATATGTAATTAAAATTGAGAATGGAAATATGTAATTACACTACATATATGTTATAGTTAAGAAAAAGATAAATTGATTTATTATTGATTTTAAAATTGTCACAGGGACAGTAATATTAACAATTACCACGAGGAATTTTGTTTAGGTATTTATTTCCGCCCTAGAAGAATAACATTTAAAATCTAATTACCACTGAAACTAAATAGTTATGGAACTTTTTAAATACATTATAAAAAATTCTGGAAAGAAAATTGTTGGAGTTTCTATGAACAAAACAATAAGATTATAAGAGAAAGTTTTCATAATTGAAAATCCCATCTCGGATCAAATACGTTTAGGTCCCTATAAACCATAAACTACAAGTAACTATAAGATGGATCATAAAGATCCCTAGCGTTTCATAAGGAATAAAAGCTTCTGTATTAATTAAAATAATGCTTAAATAAAAAAGAGGCGGAAGATAACAGAAAGACAAAACTCGTAAGTAGAAGATAGACCGACAAACCATGTCACAAAAACGAAATAAGAACAAAAAACGGAAGGGTAAGCAAATGTGATACTCCTTATAAATACGTTAATGCAATGTCTTGTAATTAAACACTACTAACAACTTTTTTTCGCAGAAAATCATACACTCCAGATACAAAGAAATACTGCATGGTGTCCGTGTAAAGTGCTACTATATCCGTACTTTTCATTTCGCCACTTAAAACACTTAAAAATACTTTTATAAAACATTATTGCTACCGTTTCTATATCACGATCTATCTTATATTTTTATATATTGTAGATCACTGTATCTAGAGGTTCTATAACGTTAGTGCAAAGCATGTGGACCTTGCGGCTTTTAGTAATCGATTTACTTGTGGTGAGTAGTTCTGAATGATACGAACCCTTTCTATTAACCTCTTACCGATGGCGCGTCACATTCTGCTTCTTCTGTTTCTACTCTTTCAACATTAGTATATTTCATTCAAAACTATCCTCATTTTCCATACGGCTTTTTTATTCTTTTGCCTTATAATCAATGTTCAGTACTGCTTTATATCTACTTTAAGGTGGTACCCAACACCTTGACTAACATTAATTTGGCTCGTTTAATTTTCCTAAAATTTTGACAAAATGTTTACTTTGACCCTTTGACAAAAATATAAAAATTTCAAAAAATTTGAACCAACCACTTTATCAGAAAAATTTCTTTGGTTATATAGCAGTTTGACAAACACTAATTTTGATCATTGAGAAGCTTAATATTTCCTTAACAGTACAACGTAATTAAAACGTTTAGCTGATTTTTACAGAGTTATCTCCCTGTAGTGTTAGGTACCACTTTAATTATCATGTCTTCGTGTTAGTATATTTGGTACGATAATGGCAAGTGGTATTAAAAAAAGTTATAGACCTTTAGATACAAAATTATCAATTTGAGGCAACTTAGAACTTTCAAATGAACAAAATAACAGAATTTTCAAAATTTCATCAAAAGGTCAAACATATTTATTGTACCTTCATAAAACGTTATTGGTATTGATACGGAACATCATCATCATCAACGCTAACGTCATCATCACGGAATTATATGACTGTTCAATATTTCCTTCTTTTTTAACCTAAAGCTAGTATTATATTCTATAAACTGTCTGTTTTACATGCATGCTCATTATATTATTATTGTACTTATTTATATTGTATTATGGAGAAGGCTTCATAAATATGATTTACTTGTGACTAATCCATTATGCTTAATCTAGCAAATAAAATATGTTTAAACTAACGAATATCATATCTTCAAAATTAAGAAAACACTTGCAACACTCAAATATAGGGAAAAACTTAAGAAACGAAATTTTGAAATACACAATGTACGCATTTCTGTAATAGATTTTATCAGGTACGCTCAATACGTGATACTAAATAGGAAATACAGTCTGAAAGCACAAAAAGACAAAAAGGTTTAACAATTACATGATTATGATCTTAAAAACGTGGTGCTCAAAAGGCAAATACAGTCTGAGAGCATAAAAAGCCAAAAAGGGCTAAACAATTACATCATTATGACCTTAAATAGTTACAGCAAAATGTATCTTCCTAGTGGCAGCAATAACGAATTATCACAAGCATGCATTAGATTAGATCAGCGGGACAATTGTTTTTTTTTTTTAAACTAATGAACAATATTTTATATAATTAAAGGGGAATCTTAACGAAGACGGCAATGAATATATATGAAAATATTTAAATTTGTAGATTGGATTTTGTGAAACTACTGAACAATATATCGTACGAAAAATTGGTAGTGACACTAAGCGCTGTATACCCATATCTAACTGTGAACCTGGTAAGTAAATTGGAGTAATTTTGATAAAAAAATAATGAGAGAGGAAAATGATGTAATACGTATGCAGTAGTAGATGTATATCATGTATATTTACACTAAGCTAAGCAATATATTGCAGAAGTAAAGCAATAAGTACAACTTTAAAAGTAGAAATTATAATGAATATTTAATTATCGTGTGAAAGTTAGAATTTATTCATGAAAATAACTGACCACAAACGTTCTATTAATATCCAAGAGTTATTCCTCTTAACCATCTTAACCTAGGTCTACATGTTTAGCTTTAGTTTTGTTTTAAATCTGAATTTTGACATTTTAACTAACAAGTCAATATACTGCCTTTGTACCTTCAATGTCGGTATTTTACTTGTATCACTTGTATATTTTAACTAACAAGTTGATATACTGCCTTTGTGCCTTCAATGTCGGTATTTTACTTGTATCATGGGTACATTTTAACTAACAAGTTAGTATACTGCCTTTGTGCCTTCATCGTCGGTATTTTACTTGTACATGTATCACTGGTAGATTTTAACTAGCAAGTCAATATACTGCCTTTGTATCTTCAATGTCGATAGTTTACTTGTATCACTGGTAGATTTTAACTAACAAGTCAATATACTGCCTTTTTACCTTCAATGTCGATAGTTTACTTGTATCACTTGTACATTTTAACTAACAAGTCAATATACTGCCTTTTTACCTTCAATGTCGGTATTTTACTTGTATCACTTGTACATTTTAACTAGCAAGTCAATATACTGCCTTTTTACCTTCAATGTCGATAGTTTACTTGTATCACTTGTACATTTTAACTAACAAGTCAATATACTGCCTTTTTACCTTCAATGTCGATAGTTTACTTGTATCACTTGTACATTTTAACTAACAAGTCAATATACCGCCTTGTACCTTCAATGTCGGTATTTTACTTGTATCACTTGTACATTTTAACTAACAAGTTAGTATACTGCCTTTGTGCCTTTATCGTCGGTATTTTACTTGTACATGTATCACTGGTAGATTTTAACTAACAAGTCAATATACTGCCTTTGTACCTTCAATGTCGGTATTTTACTTGTATCACAGGTGCATTGTACCTAACAAGTCAATATACTGCCTTTGTACCTTCAATGTCGGTATTTTACTTGTATTACTTGTACATTTTAACTAACAAGTCAATATACTGCCTTTGTGCCTTCAATGTCGGTATTTTACTTGTATCACTTGTACATTTTAACTAACAAGTCAATATACCGCCTTGTACCTTCAATGTCGGTATTTTACTTGTATCACTTGTACATTTTAACTAACAAGTTAGTATACTGCCTTTGTGCCTTTATCGTCGGTATTTTACTTGTACATGTATCACTGGTAGATTTTAACTAACAAGTCAATATACTGCCTTTGTACCTTCAATGTCGGTATTTTACTTGTATCACAGGTGCATTGTACCTAACAAGTCAATATACTGCCTTTGTACCTTCAATGTCGGTATTTTACTTGTATTACTTGTACATTTTAACTAACAAGTCAATATACTGCCTTTGTGCCTTCAATGTCGGTATTTTACGTAATGATCAGTTTGAAATTTTGTTCATTAAAAACAAAATAGAAAATTCTCTACTGTCAATTCTTCTAACTTAACCTTTTCAAGCTATATAATCCCGAGTGATTGAGAAAACACAATATAGATTATGTCTTCATGAATATATGAACGAAAAGATTCGTAGATATGTTTTGTACAATGAACTGTTTAGGCATTTGTTTTTATTATATGTACAACATTATTTATTTAATTTTAGGACATGAAATTTTACCATGCAAAGTTGAATACACAAAAGACATCTGTACATCGTGTCCTTCAGGACTTGTCCAGCCTGATTATATACAGTCTACAGTGGATCTGAAACTTACAACGTGTTTTGAGAATAAAAATGATGATAAATGTGCTGCACATGGTATCTAATCTAAACAAAGTTTATTATTTGATCTATTTCTATCTAACATTTCATATTTTTAAATTGATTTGTTTTTCATTTTTTCGATCAGCGTTTTCGTCTATATCAACACAGCCCTTTCACATGCTAAGTATACAACTTAAACACATTTTCTATAAAATTAAAATAATTTTCGGTCAGAATTATTGAACCAATAAACATTTTACTTATTATTTTCTTTATTTGCCCTTTCAGACTACAGCTTAAAGAAACTACTTTTCTGTTTACACCGTATTCATTTTATGCTGTCACTTTTCCTGTACTTATTTTAAACATTTCAGATCTTGAGCCTAGTCGCGAATACAATGCCAAAGCTTGTGCTTTTGCAAAGTATTGTAAGTGTAATACAGACGAGTGTTACTATGGCGACCCATGTGCCTGTAGTACACGTGAATGTGGCATAAATGAAAGTTTGCATAAAAATGGAAGTGAGTAGTGATTTCTTAAGTAAAGCCTACGTTTAAACCTTTGTCGTAGTACGTTAATCACTCATAAACATATTTAATACTATAAATTCAAAAATAAATATTTTGGTTAAGTTAGTTAGACTATATGTTTTTAATTTTTTGGATTGTCTTTAATCAAATATGAGATTCATTATATATAATTAACAGATTGTCCCGGCTTAATTGCCATAAGCCAACAAATATGTTCTTCAAATGCCAAATACAGCAAGTTAATTAAGCAAGGTGGAAGATACATTAATACTTTACATGCCTCTTCTTTGATATTACAGCATGTGTCAAATGTTCACCAGGTACCAGGAAGTACAAAACCGGTTGTGGGCTATGTTCCCCATTCCAGGTAACATCAGAAAGGTACAGATTTTCCTTATAATTAGTTTATTTTTTAATTTATTCGTGCTGTTATGTTAGCAATATGAATCGTTCTGAAATTTTATTTAAAAATATTACAAAGGAATGGCTATCTTTATGGCAAAGCCTTTGTCGAAACAACTCTTTAAACAAAATGAGAAAAGAGATACAAAATATACTTGAAATCTGAAGAACACTTTTATTAATGAACAAGGATCATTGTTAACTGAATTTACATATTTTTGTTATTGACATATCAATTAATTATCTCCTAGAGTAACTACAATCAGCTATTGATGATAAAATGTGTCTATTTGGCTGTATGAGATGTATACGCAGCTACAAGTTCAAACAATTGTGGACTCGTACTACAAGATGCATAATTTCAGCGGAATTGGCCATAGATGCCTTGGAGTTAAAAATCTTAAAGTTTCGAACAATTAAAACATTTCATGAAAAATAAATTTACAGAAAATGAATCCACAATTTTCTACATCAGAAAATGCCTGTATTACGTCAGGAATATGACAGTTGTTATCCATTTGTTTGATGTGTTTGAGCTTTTGATTTTGCCATTTGATTAGGGACTTTCCGTTTTGAATTTTTGTCGGAGTGCGGTATTTTTGTTATTTTACTTTTTACCGTATCAATGACTTTTCCTGGTCTATTAGCTATATAATATTTCTACTGTATACTGTAATAAGCTCATACTTTGCATTGATTGGATCATGCATTTTACCATTTGAACGGCAATTCGCAATCCTGTATCAATTCACTGTAAAAAAAAATATTCATTGCAGTATGCTAGATTCCTTGTGGTTTATGTTTCATTCTGCTCTTTGCAAGGCACAGCCATTTGTGTGTTCTCTCATAAAATGGTCCGACGACTTAAGCATGCTGTCATTATTAATCCTGTCATAACAGCTGGTATATTTTTTTCAGCATGAAGGAAACACAGAGACCTTTAACGTCTATGAAAACACAAAGGTACGAATGTATGTGTAAAAATCAATTAAGCATTAACTTCTGCTAAAGTGTCAACTCCCTCAGGCAAGTTTAGGTTGATCTTAGATGGATTTGTCTATTTTTTATATCTTCTTGGTTATATAGTTCTTAAACTGTTACGGTTCCTTTACACCCTTGGCTTTCAGATTTTCGGTTTTGAACGTTCCTGATGAAGGTAAATTCACAAAAGCGCTTCGGACCCATGAAATTTATATCGTTTTTTTTTCATTCTCTACACTTCAAATTAAAAAGAAGAACGTACTAAAAATGATATATTTATTCCACTGAAAATTGATAAAAACAAAATTTGTAACACAATAAATTCTCCTGATGTGTGCATAGCTAGTTTAACATCCCCTACAGAGTTCATGCATATTCCTCAGTTTTTTTCTATTTTGTTGATATAAAACAAGAGTTTCAAACTATTTTACTTATTTGATTTTTAATTCAAAAACACATGTTGAAAACATATTGCACTGCTTGGGAAAATTATAAATGCTTAGACTCTGAAAATGCCAGAGGATATACAAAAGAAAGTGTGGTCTTAAGAGTTTATCGGCTTTGTTTTTTTCTCTCTTTATGTCTGTTTTATTTTTGCTTATGAGTTTTGATAGCCTCTTTGGGATCTTTTGCCTCATTTTGATAATATGAGAACAAACATCCATATAGGTGTAATCCCACCAAATCATAGTACGTCACATCCTTTGCATACGAAAAAGGGTTGAAAAAAATATTCCCTTGAATTTAACAGTTGTAGGAAAATAATCCTACATTTCAATGCAATAAAACATTTCTGAGTCATAAACATATATTTTGGGTGTTTCAAAGCACCATTCTTTTTTTATTTGGTGTTTCTATAAAATATTTTGGAAAAGAGGGACGAAAGATACCAGAGGGACAGTCAAACTCATAGATCGAAAACAAACTGACAACGCCATGGCCAAAAATAAAAAGACAAACAGACAAATAATAGTACAGATGACACAACATAGAAAACTAAAGACTAAGCAACACGAACCCTACCAAAAACTGGGGGTGATCTCAGGTGCTCCGGAAGGGTAAGCAGATCCTGCTCCACATGTTGCACCCGTCGTGTTGCTTATGTTATTAAAAATCCGGTAAAAAGTCTAATTCGGTAGGTCACATTCGTGAAAAGGGAAGGGTATTGTAGTTACGACATAAGGAACATATCCGATATCATCTGTGAAACGGTTATTCCATAACGGTCAACCAACTCGTGATGGCGTCCGTAAAATTTACGAAGGGATGATTTCAACTTCACCATTTGGAACTCTTGGTTTAATAGCTTCCTTGTGAGCAGCAATCCTCTATCAAGGAAATCATGATAGGAAATACAAGCCCGGGAATATCGTATCAATTGGGAGATATATACTCCGTATGCAGGCGCTGCTGGAATGTTGCTACATAGAAATGGAAAGTTCACAATTGGGAAGTTGAAATCATCTCTTTTGTCGTAAAGTTTTGTTTTCAACCGACCCTCATTGTCAATTTCTAGATGTAAGTCAAGATATGAGGCAGACTTTACTGTAGTATCCTTTATCTCTAGTTCGATGGGATAGATTCCTTCAACATAGTCATCAAATTTTGTATTATTTAGTGAGAGAACATCATCTATATAGCGGAACGTAAAGTTAAAGGATATTGCTAACTTCTTATCTTTCTTCCTAAGAAGTTCCTGTATAAAGTCAGCCTCATACTAATAAAGAAACAAGTCGGCAAGAAGAGGGGCTTAATTGGTTCCCATTGGAATACCGACAGTCTGTTGAAAAACAAGTCCTCCAAACGTAACAAATATGTTGTCAATCAAGAAATCAAGCATCTTGATAATGTCAGTTTCAGAGAATTTTTTGTTTGAATCAGAGTGATTCTTTACAAAGTAGGATTTATTCCTCCCCAAGACAAGATACTTGTATCTACGTTCGCCATTCTTTTTAATGAAAGAAAGTAATACCAACTCTTTCAATTTGTCTTTTAGTTTGGAATGGGGAATACTTGTGTAAAGTGTAGAAAAGTCAAATGTTTTAATACTATTGCAAGATGAGAGAGTCTTAGATTGTATGTACCCTAAAAGATCTTTGGAATTTTTTACTATCCACATCTGATTCACGCCACCTCTAGAATAGGCAGTTTCACTATAACTTTGGAGCCCGGCTTTGATTGCTGATAAAATAGATGTTAATAATTTAGAAAGAGTGGAGTACTTGGAAGACCCAGCAATATACCGTTGTTTGTAAGGACACTTATGTAGTTTAGGTATCCAATACAGTGATGAAAGATCCAGTTCTACATCTTTGGTTGAAATTCCAAAGGAACATAGAACAGACCTTTGATTATCCAGGATTTCCTCTTTAGTAAGTGTCGTTAGGGTATATGTTGAGTTTTCAAGTGAATTGTCAATACCTAATTCATTTATCAAGCAGTTTATGTAATGATATTTACACACAAAAACGATGTTGTTTGGGGCTTTATCTGCGAGGACAACAACATATTTGTCATGGAGGTAGGACAAGTGTTTTGCAACATTTGGGTCTTTAAAGATTGACAGACCCATTCAGTTTCTTAATTCTGATTTGTATCAACGACCTCACAGCCTTTATCCATTCGGAAAGAGTATCTACGTCTTCTTTCTTGCGTTTAGCCCATTGCCTGGCATAATCCTCGACTGAATCCATCAGTATTTTGAAGTTGTATTTCCAATTGATGGATTTAAGCTCACGATATTTCGGACCTCTGGATAACAAATAACAAAGTGTTATTGACAATGATGAGGTCTCCGGTAATAACGTGGCCAGTCGGATTATATGTGAATTGGGAACTAGCACAGGTGCAATCAGGAGGTTTAGACTTGAAGTCGTCAATGTTGAGATCCTGCAAAACGTGTTTGTAATTGAAAAGTTTAGTTGCAATTGGTTTGGTGTAGGTATAAGAAATTATTGGTACAGACTGATCTTTAAAATAAGGAGGTATTTTCGAATAAACTAATTTATGATGAAGGACATTGCCTAAGTTGACGCCATCGAGACCTTTGTTGGCAAAGGAAAGTTTTAAGAAAAGATCTTTTCTCTTTTTCTCATTTCTTTTGGAAACTTTAGGTTACATGGTTACTAAAGCTTGTAAACAGGAAAGGGTTGGAAATTTGATTGGTTAACTTCCAGTGATAGTTATTATCTTATATGCAATGAAATGTTATGTAAAATTTTGTATGTAGTACTGGACAGGATAAACCTTTACTCATGCCAAGTATTTCTATATTTAAAACAAAGATAAATTTGGCACAGTTTTTTGAAAAGTGCAAATTTAACAAAGACTAACAGGGGAAAAACAAGGGTGGTATTACACCTATTAAAAAGTCTTGGTTTAATAAATTTCTTCAAAAATAGTAATTTATTTCCTGGTTTACAGTGCACAAGATGTTACAAACGGTAATGAGGAACGTACAGTGGTGACTTTGGTTCCAAGCAATGGTATAATGCAATCAAAAGGTAAAATATTCCATAAATTTAAACACGAAAACGTAATAAAACTAGAAACTAAAATAGAATTGTCTTTGTTCACAGTCAGCGACTCAATGACTGTTTTGATATAATTGCTTATGCATATACGGAAAAGTGACACAATGAAATTATTAAGTACAACTGATGGTATGGAAGAAAAGGTGGGCGTATGATAAGAAGCATATCAAAATAAAAAAAAGATCTTAAAATTAGGCTATGAGGTGGCTTCTGAAGGTTTCTGAATTTTCTTATTAAATAAAAGAATTGTAAAGCACTCAAGTTAAAAGTGTAAGACAAGTTTCAAAGATATAAATGATAAACAATTGTCTAATGTGCTGTGACTGTCTGAAGAGAAAGTCTTTGATATCCGAATTGAAAAATGTAAAAATGGCTTTATCAACCCTTCACTTTAGATTTGGGTACTTTTAAATAAGTAAACTGAACAATATAATCATAACGCAGTACTTTCCATCAAATCATATCATTTCATATTTTTAAAAAAAGTAAATCGCGTCGTCGACAACAACACGTGTGAACCGAAAACATAACACACTGGTAATTCATTTAGTGTTCATTCAGATATTTCTCCTGCTGCATTTATCGCATTTCCTGTGCTATGGGATATGAGATGAATATACTTATTGTTAATATTTTTTTGGCATTCACGACAGTCAAGGTTCTTTATTTAATGATTTCTTTTGTTTTAGATATTCAAATGCATTTTTTAGTTTTAAGTATGTTTTCGTTTCCTGTTCCAATTTACTCTCTTGGGAGAATTATCAATTACAGCGTTTAAAACGAAGTTTGAAGACTTATTATTTTTTAAACAGTCGTTTATTAGCAGGTGTAAAGATTCTGTATTCATATTTTACGAGAAATGTTAAGTAGTATTGTATGTCCATCACATTTCAGTCAGATTATACTCATCATTTAGGTTTTTCATTACACAGGCAGAAAAACTCAAGGAAGGGAAGAGACAACAGTTTCAACAATTACAGGATCTTCAAACACATTGATTGCAGTGTAAGAATACAAACTTACTATGCGGTGAATGTTAAAAGAAATAACACTAAAAGTGTGAAGTATTTTGCAGTTAAAAAATTCAGATCAAACATATACCTCACACGTATACATTGAAATAACTAAAAAAAGTCAAAACAAGAACAGACAACACCATGTCCAACGATAATTTACTTACGGGCAAACCAGTCCGAAAACAGCACAAACAAAATTCTATTTATGTGTAATATTGGTCCCTTTAAATGCATACGAGAGTCAGCAGTTCCTGCTCTTTTAGTGAAGTTTGTTTCGTTATTTTCCTCATGGCAAATAAAAATCCGGTGAAAGTCGCATTTGATAATGTTTCAATTTCGAACTGGAGTTACGGAATAATATCTGTTGTCACCTTTGACATATGGCAGATTCCATATAAGAAAGTGAAACAACTCCCATAAGCACGTTAGGCAAAAATCATAAGCAATGAACTTCTGTTTTTGAATACATGCTTTACTAATAAAGATAAAGACAATTTGACCAAAAAAAAAATTATGAGCATCATCCTTTTTAAATAAACGAAGCCTTAAATATTATGTTTCTGACATAAGATTTGACAGACTTTATTGTTTCTGACATAAGATTTGACAGACTTTATTTTTTCTGACATAAGATTTGACAGACTTTATTATTTCTGACATAAGATTTGACAGACTTTATTTTTTCTGACATAAGATTTGACAGACTTTATTATTTCTGACATAAGATTTGACAGACAAATTGAGTTTCTGACATAAGATTTTGACAGACTTGATTCTGACATAAGATTTTTCATACATAAGATATTTTGACAGACAATATATATTTGTTTTTTTTGACTGACATTTGAAATCAAATCCTAGTTGAAAGTCATTTTTAAAACTCCTGGAAAATACTGCAGCCTAACATCTAACAAGATTTCACTACAGGTCAAAGAACTTTAACTGTTAGCACATTCAAATGTTTCAGACATAAGAAAACAAGTTTGACAGATCTTATGTAGGAAACATATAAGTTAAAACTATTACTTGAATAAAGTTAAATGAAAGAATCAACATGTGTTTTTTCTTATGCACAGCATGACTTACAGTTTTAACTGGCATATATTGGAACCTACAATGATTTTGAAAGTTTTTACAGCGATGTTCCTGACATAAGATTTATTGACAGACACTGAGCTATAAAGCAAGATATTTGAAAGTGAAAAAAAATATATATCACAGATGTTTTTGACTAAAAAAAGTAACAAATTTGGGAACAGGGATGTTTGAATAACCAGACTACACTAGTAAATACCAGTATACAAGTGTCAACATAAAGCATTGCAACACATAAACATTGTGTAAAAAAATGGGAGTTAATTCTGTCAAAATTTTTGCATTTTTTCAACTTGTTTTAATCATTTCTACTTTAAACAGAAACAATCATATCCAAAAATTATTTTTATAATTTCTTCTAACATCATTATTCTTCAAAACATTCACGGATTATTTTTAAAATAACAGTAATTATTATTTTTATTTATTTATTCATTTTGACAGACATTTCAATTTCTTATATGGAATCTGCCATATGTATATTCTATTACGACAAAAAAATCATAATTGTATTATTTATCCTTATAAAGAGGATATTGAGATTTTTTGAGTCAGAACCTTTGGTTCAGTAGCTTCCATTAAAGCAGTAACTTCGAATAAAAAGTTCATGGTTCGAAACGTAAAACCTAAAATGGCATATCATCTTGGAAATGTATATACTTTTCCCATGTGCTGTTGTAATATTGCTATATATGAATGGATAGTTTCTAGTCAACCACGAATTAAATACTTTGTCAATCAAACAATTAAACATTCTGATAATGTCAGTTTGAGAATAGGATTTGTTTAAACTAGTGCGTTTTACGCATCATTATTTGTCTCTCATTCAACAAAAATATGAGAATCTAAGTGGGCAATTTTTTCATTGAACAAGTTGTTAAAATGTTTTCGACAAAAATGTTGTTGAAGATTTTTAAGAAACCAATATTTAGATATTATTCATAGATTTTTTTTGTGACGATATGGTCTGTTGAAATGTAGGAAAAAATGACGTTGAGGGTTCAACTATGCTTCAGAAAAATAAATTCATCCAACTGCTAACACAAAACTGGAGACCAACCTGCCCATTGAACAGATCAAAATGTTCCTTTGAAAACACATTGTTACACATAAAACACACAAATAAAACACACAACTGTATGCAAAAGAAACATTTTTGAATATTTATATAGATGCGGGCACATTTTATTTACAAAGAGAAGGGAAAGCTCAATTCGATATGCAATTCATTTTTCGAATAATTTGATTTTAAAAACATACGAGGTTAACAAATTATAACATAATTCAATTTTTTGTCGAAAGGTTTAATGGAACATACTGATTGGTAATTGTTTGTCTAAGATAAATTGTGCATTGTTTCCTTATTTGTAGAATTGTAGTTTTGGCTGTTCTTGTTATTGTCGCCATAGTCCTTATCATATTGCTACGAAATCACAGACTTAAAAAAGATCAAGGTAAGATTAGGTTATGCAGTTCGTCATTCAGACAGGCAGTCATTTTATATTTTATTTATTTGTACAGACTGAACTAATCTTACGCAACGTAATCTAAAAAAAAACTAATTAAAAAAAACCCAAAAAACTACAAGACCGAGCCAGGAAAAAAAACAACATTTCGAATACATTAACATTAAGAAGTAAAAAATGCAAGGCCACATCATCAGCCATAAAACAGTACCTCAGAAAAAATATTTCAACACTTATACATAAACAATTGAACAATAGATGATCACATTGAAAGTAGACAGGAAGAATTTAAACAATTCAGAAGTAGGTTTAACTTACACGTTACCACCACGAAAAGAAATTGATATTTTCGTGACGACTTTAAGACTTGGAAACAGAAACAAAAGAATATAATATATATTAAAAAAATTCTCATTTTGCGTGTGGCTTTATCAACGATAATAATAACACTGAATGGTGACGTCATTTAGAACTGTTCTACAATCCTGACAGGTTTGGTAAGTTCTACGGCTAGAACAGTTCTGCTGACAGTTCTACGGTTAGAACTGATTTGGTCAGTTCTGCTGACAGTTCTACGACTAGAACTGATTTGGACATTTCTACCTCGAACAGATTTAGACAGTTCTACCCTAGAACTGATCCTGACAGTTCTACCTAGAACTGATTTGGTCAGTTCTACCTAGAACTGATTTGGTCAGTTCTACCTAGAACTGATTTGGTCAGTTCTACCTAGAACTGATTCTGACAGTTCTACTTAGGACAGTTCTAGGGTAGAACTGTTCTAGGCAGAACTGTTCTAGGACAGTTTAGAACAGTTCTATGATAGATTATTCTGACAGTTCTAATGAGAGGTTAGAAGTGATCTCCACTGTATTTTACTCATGGTGCATTGTTTGGTTTCTGTTTTATTGAAGATTTATTAATTTTCAGAGATAAATGTCATGGAACAAGGAAGACCCCTGGTTTCGCCTCAAAATGATATGATTAACAATGACAATGTTGAAAACAGGAACCAGGAAGATAATGAAATTGATGGTCACATGGGCAACGGAGATCAGAACAACACAAATACCGATGATTCCACTAATAATTACGATTCTCGTCAATATGCATTATCCAGTGACAAACGATATCAAAATGAAATGAAAGATATCGAGAGTGCAGAAGAGCTACCAAAAGCCATTACGAAATATTTTGATAAAAGTAAAGACATTTCATCTTCCTCCTGTGATTATTCATCTGGACATCACATGCCTCCAGGAGCACAACTGAATGACAAAAATACAAATACTTTGAATATACACGAGGCAGAAAATCCAGAATGTCAACAGCAAATGCAAGAAAATGTGGAATTAGCTGAAGTTGAAACATTAGACGAAGCTAGTATACAACAACATTCATCAAATGGGTATATACAACAACTGACAGAAAAAATCTTTACTCCTGTAACACAAGTCTCAGATGAACGATTTGATCACAGTAGAGGTATGTCAAACATTTAATTATGATTTAATTCGGAAATGATTGGATTGATCAAAAAAGAGGTACGGATCTCACATTTAGATTTAGATTAAGTCACAGTCCAGATGATGGTAATTTTGTAAAAGAGGTCTCAACCATTAATATAATATCAGAAAAAGATGTTACTGAAATGGAGGTAGATAATACATATATATATATATATATCCCCAACCGAAACCAAAAGAGACAGAAGATAGTATTGGGACATTCAAAACTTACAAGTCGAGGAAAAACTGACTATTCAATGAAAAAAAAAGAAACATAATCAAATGGCAAACAAATCCACTAAACACTTGACAGAAAACTGAAATCTGAGCAAAAACACAAACCCCGTAAACTTGGTTGACCTCAGATGCTCCGGCAGAATGTGAAGATCCTTCTCCACTTGTGTCAACAGTCAGATTGCTCATGGTAAGTTAAAAATTTGTGAAATGTCTCATTCGGTTATAAATCAGAGGAATATATTGATCAAAATATAGGTAAAGGTACAATGTGTTACATACAGATATAACACCAATCACAGAGAATTCTTTTGGACAAAATATAACATATAGATATTAAACAAGTCACATACAAAATCTCTTGATTCTTATTTGAATAGGTTTATAAATATGTATGTGGATATTTGCATATCGAATTATTGAAAATAAGGTAGAAACTAATAAAGGGGTTACTAGGCAGACATTTATATATAGAATGACAAATACACTTCTAGTATTCGCAAAACGGTTTGTGTTGGTAAAGACCGACAAAGCAAGCAACAAAGTGGTGGTGGTATGACGTAAATAATACACGTAGTTCCTAAAATGAAAATATATTCCAATAGTAGACAATCGTTTAATTAGAACATTTCGGCTTAAGGTCTCCTCTGAACAATTTAAGCTGCATTCTATATATTGGCTTCCTATACTTCCAATAAGAATATCTACAACCAGACGAAAAATTTGATTAGTAAAACGTAGATAAATATTGTCATTGAAAATTAACAGCTTTAATCATCTCATCAGACTTCCATTATGTGTATTTTGCATAATTAACTTGTTCATTACAGAAGATTGCCTTATACTAATTGCGAGAATTAAATTTGCAGCCCGATTTTTCATAGGACAATTTAGTTGAATAAGCGAACATTTGTTTGATAAGATGTTGTAGATTATTATGATAGAGATTCGAAAAGACATTAATGTCAACCGAATCATAATAACCATCAAAACTTCAAAATATATTTTTCTTTCTTTCTATCATTTTCAAGTGTTAAAACAAAAGTTAATAATTGTCTGTAATAGAATAAAGAGAAGCAGTTTAAAGCACTGAAAGAGTTGTTGTAGAATTCTTACTTTAAGCCTATCTTAAACGATAACTTTTTTTCTGTAGTTTATGTAGCCAACAAATATATCATAGGGATATATTTCTTTCTTTCTATTATTTTCAAGTGTTTAAACAAAAGTTAATGGTACGTTCTGTGATAGAATATAGGGGAGCAGTTTAAAGCACTGAAAGGGTTGTTGTAGAATTCTTACTAGAAGCCTATCTTAAACTATAACTTTTTTTTGTAGTTTACGTAGCCAATATATATATCGTACGTACGTTCACATGTTCAGATGAGGCCTAAAGCTGAGATGATATAATTATAAAAATAAAAAGATACGGTAAATTTGTCATTGAGACACTTTTCCACTACACTAAATGACGTAGACATTTGCAACTAAAGGTCATCGTTCCTTCAACAATGGGCAAAACCCATACCACACAGTAAGCTTAAAAAGCCCCGACATGGCACATGTAAATCTGTTCAAACGAAAAACTAACGGTATAATTTATGTACAATACAATTATTAAACAAAAATGTGATGAACAGCAACAAACGACAACAATGAATTACAGGTCCCTGTCTTGGGACCTAAACCTCCTTTAACATGAGACTGTGATGTAACAGCACAACATATGAACAAACTTTAAAAATCGGTTCATTAAAGCTTGGTCAGATCGACACAACGCACAAAAAACCCAAAACACATTAACTAAAAAACAAATACTAGTAGCAAAAACAAACAAAAAAAAAACAAAACTGAAGACACAAAGTACTGATCTGAGAATAAAAAACACTCATCTAACACTAAAATATCAATCAGTACATATGATTGATTACTATTTTAATCTTTATTGATCACACTGAAATTAGAATAATTTATAATTTCATTCGTCAGAACTTTCTAGCAGTATTTACGTCTAACCACAACCCCCCCCCCCCCCCCCCCCCCCCCCCAATTTTTGTTGTCGGCCGCTCTGCGAGTACTTGAAATGTGTTTCTTATTTTAGAAATGGGCGTATTAGTTACCCTTTACGATTTATATAATTTTTGTCAAAATGTGACATTTGAATATCAATTCACTTATTCAAGAGAGTTAGAATTTTTAATCTACACTACTTATTGTCGATACATGTGACAAAACGTTGTTTATGACCTTTAGGACTATATTTTAGTTCTTTTCAGACGTTTTTAACCTCTTGGTTCTAAACGATGTTGAGGTCCTCTGTAATAACATGGTTTTATGTTTCATATCTTTTATTCATTGTTTCACAGTCTCATGTTGAACATTATTTAGTATACAAACGCCTGATGAAACTGGCGTACATTAAATAATGAAACTTCTTCTTGGCCTTTGTATAAAAATAAGGAGATTTGGTTTGATTGCCAATGAGACATCTATCCACCAAAGTTAAAATGAAGTGAATGTAAGCAATGATAGGCAACCGTACGGCCTTCAACAATGAGAAAAACACATACCGTATAGTCGGCTATAAAAGGCCCCGACATGAAAAAAAATTAAACATCTATACTTAATAATAGGTGAGTCTATGTTATAAACAAAGAGCGATATAAAGTCACTAAATACTAGATAAGTTAAAAACATTCATCCCTTTGTTAATGAAAATACTGCTATTGATCTAAAGGTTTTTTTCAATACGCGGGAACAGCAAATGGTGTCAAAAAGTTGAAATTATACGCATTTACTGATATTGTGGACTGAAAAACAAAATTGTATCAAACTTCTTAAAAAAAAATCATATGATATACGTTAACTGGTATTTGACCAAGTTTGCATAATATTTACGTCCGTTGTTTTTTTATACATGTAATATGAAATGTATATTTCATACGATGTTCAATTCGTTGATTGCAATTTATATGTTTGCCATGAGACCTAATATAACGATGTCTTTTATTAACACTATTCATGATTTTAATGGAGAATTTTAGATAGGTTCCTTTGTACCATGGTACTGTCATTAAGCCGGAAGGAATATGCTGTATGTAGTCCTTTAATTAAAGTACGCAAATTTAACGAAAATCTTCCAATTGTTAATGTGCTTCTCCTTGTTGTTACTAGACGGTTTCGAGTGATAACTTACATATTTAATGTATCAAGTTAACCTGTGTATAATTAAAAAAGATGACTTGTGTTTCATATCAGCCTGTTTGTAAGTCAACACTTAGTGCATACTTTAATTTGTAGGTTATCATTGCAAGTTGGTAAACTGTTAGTATACTTTTCATTTTCAGAAGAGCCCAGTAGTGGATACTGTTCTGAAGGTAGGTCTATTAAACAATATTTTTATTAACATTGAAACGAAACCCACAACAGCACTTTTCCTCCAACTATTACTTTGACTTCTGTAGTTACAACTACTATATAAGAATTAGAAGATGTGGTAAAATTCCACAACAGACCAAATGACTTAGATGTAAGCAACTATCATGACTATAGGATAGGTCACTGAACGGCCTTCAACAATTAAAAGACTGTATAACAAACTCCACTAAGAAAAATATGATTATGATTACGACAGAACAATGCAAAAAAGAATATATATTAATTGTTAAGGAGGTTAAATACGATCATCACTTATTATTTCGAAAATCATTTATCTATGAATGAATGAAAAAAAGTTGTTGCAATAAATTGTTATATTGAGTGGTATATTTTTATTTGTGTTAACTGATAGAAAGGTGTTTTATTATTCAGAATTTCCATATCGTTCGCCACTCTCCGATAATAAAGGCCCAGGTTCTCTACAAAAATATGGAGAATTGGTTTCGGGTAAGTACTATAAAACTAATAACTGTAAATGTAGGAAATTGTACAAGTTTTGAAAATATCAAAAATTGTGGTAAATAGAAAACATTTAAAAATGGTGAACTTTGGAAATAAAACACTCGCATCTATAAATAATTTTGGTTTATATTTTATCATATCACTGCATAGAGATTTCAAAAGTGAAATCGTAGTTAGATTCATCGAGGGTATCATTAGGCCAGTTGTCAGCACGTTAAACTTTGTGTTGACATGAACAAAGCATTTTGTGTAAAAAGCATGTTGTTGGATTTTGAATTATTTAAATGTTTTTTTCTCCCCAATGCATGACTTGCTTTGTTCGTATTTTGCACATATTTTTTGAATGTTTGGCTTTTCATGCTCTTCAACTTATAAATGGTTCGGCCTTCAGACTGTTTTGGTTCGATTCCCACTAATGAGTTTTATGAAGATGAAACGCGCATCTGGTGTACCAAATCTTTAATGAGTTTCTTACATAGAAATTGAGTGCTATACCGATAAACAATTTGGTTTTTTATATTTTCTAAAGGTAAATATAGTGTCATTGAAAAAGTAAAAAGTTTTATTAATTATCGGACACTATTCTGTGTTAAGTGGTCAATTTTGATGATTGCCATATTTGCGCGCTTCGAAATAGTAGAAAAATCAAGAATTATACGTGGTGTTTCCAGCGAAAGCGTGATAGGTCAAAGATATTTGGTATCAATTTTTGTTTCAATTGTAACATTGACATAATACTTTCAAAATTCCATGAAGGCGAGGCATATCTCTGTGTCAACTGTTTATAACAAATAGTTATAGCTAACAGATACATTTGTATTACAAATTAAAGACATTATACTTACTTTTGGAAAATGATAACATATTCACATTATTGTTATTGCAGTTTCTGATCGGAACACGGAGGGTACAGAGAGCATGACAAGCTGTCTAGAAAATTTCAATTTCAAATTATCAGAACCGACAACACCATCTGTTCACAGTGAAAGTATTGAACCTAAACAAAGTTTTGTTAAAATTGATAGTGGCGTCTATGACAGTGGCAATAGACAGAGCTAAAACGTTATGACTGAAGTCACTTGTGTTCTAAAGATATATACACATAAGAGTGACATTAAAGTTGTATGAAAATCGTATGAATGTGGCATAAAATATTTGGAAATCTTGAAACATAAACAAGACTTAAAAAGGTCAATAAATCTTCGTTATTGATAGTCTAATGTCATGCAGTTTATCAAGCTCCAAATAACATAGTCTTACTGTGAATAAAATAAGGAGGCTAAGACGGATCTGCTATACATATCAAATTCTATGATAAAGGAATGACAAAAACTAAGCACTGACGGTGTTACTGATAAGAGACATGCAATAGAAGATGTGACATCGTTAAACATTAATTTAGTAAATCGATGTTCAATTCGGTTCATAAGTAAAGGTTTAAAATCTCCTTACTTTTTATAAAGGTAGTGAATTGTGTATTCACATGAATAAAAATTTAAGTGAGAGCACGTGCGTCAACAGAGTTTTACAAGTTTTTAATCAAGACGAACAAGAATACGTTTAAACATGCTAACATCAATACTCACAATTAAACTTATCGATACAACCTTGGAAACTGTAGGAAATTGAAAGATCGAGTGTATCTTCAATATAAGAAAGTTTGTAGCTTTGAAATGATGCTTAAGTAGGGCAATTGAAATTGTTACAGAATGTAAATTAGAAAATGGCTTTAAATATAGGCAGCTAATAAACCTTGTTATGTGTTCATAGATATATGTATATTCTGTTACCTATTCTAACATCGGACTCGGACTTCTTTTAACTGAGTTTTACTGTACGTATTGCTGTGTGTTTGTTTATTCTACATTGGCTAGAAGTATAGGGGAGGGGTGAGATCTCACAAAACATGTTTAACCCCGCCGCATTTTTGCGCCTGTCCCAAGTCAGGAGCCTCTGGCATTTTGTTAAGTCTTGTATTTTATTTTAATTTTGGTTCATTTATATGTTTCGGAGTTTAGTGTGATGTTCATTTTCGCTGAACTAGTACATATTTTGTTTAGGGGCCAGCTGACGCCCGCCTCCGGTTGTGAGATTTTCTCGCTGTGTTGAAGACCCATTGGTGGCCTTGTGCTGTTTTCTGCTCTTTCGTCGGGTTGTTGTCTCTTTGACACATTCTCCGTTTCAATTCTCAATTTTATGTTATGTTTTGTTTTGTGTTGTAATGTATTTTCGTTAAAGCATTAAAGATTGTACCTTTAATGCAACTTCCACGCACATTGTTTGTTATCTTATGACAAAATTTGATTTGTCCGAAACTGTAGATTTATAGTTTATTCGAGTCTCTTAACATTGATGCACATTACTATCTTACTGTTAATACCATAACTAAACTTTTAAAACTGGCTCATCAAACATATATTTTATGCATATATAAGTGGTGGATATGAGAACGTGGGGGGGGGGGGGGGGGGGGGGGGAACAAAAACTCAAGTCAAAGAAAGAGAGCCAAAACCATGACCAAATTATAGGAACAAAGACACACAGAGATCATATTTGAGTCATTTATTTCTAGTAAATGGAAAACAACTCAAATGGTAAATATGTCTCATCGCCCATTGCACATGCATGATATTAACCATTCTTACTAAGTTATAACGCATGCATGCTATATCCAATTCATACATTAGGTATAAAATATGCATGACATGTCCCATTCTTAAGTTAGGTACAATTAAAACATGCATCAGATGTCCCATTCTTATTTTAGGTATAACACGTGTATGATATATCCCATTCTTACGTTAGGTATGACACATGCATGATATTTACCATTCTTAATTAAGGTATAACACAGATATGATATGTCCCATTCTTACGTTAGTAATAACACATGCATGATATGTACCATTCTTAATGAAGGTATAAGACAGATAAGATATGTCCCATTCTTATTTTAGACATAACATCCCATTCTTATCTTAGGTATATCACATGTATGATATGCCCAATAATTACGTTAGATATATAACATGCATGATATGTCCCGTTCTTACGTTAGTTATAACAGATCTATAATGTCGCTCCCTCATATGAAATATTTTGTCACGTATTCATCTATTTCAAGAGATAACTAATAGTTGCCCCAACTTTTTAACTCTTAACGCAAGAGATAAACTGATATGGCTTATCATGAACACAGAAGATAAGTAAATTCTCACTGCTGCAAGTAAATTTATTTCAAAAAATTGTTAATTATGCGGCTTTCTTGTCTGCTTCAGACACGAGGAGGACTGTGTAAATAACACAGCTCCTTGAGTACCGCCCCTTGGTGTCTGTTGCAGTAGGGAAACCTACACTATTCTCAATACCTATTACTGCAGTATACTTTATTTGCTGTGAATACACATGAACTTTTTTTTTTGCATTTGTGTTTGTTTTTCTGCATCAGATACGAGGAGGATTGTTAGAGCTTTAAAGCTCACAATCCTAGAGTATCGTCCCTTGGTGTCTGTTGCAGCTAAACAATCATTTATATTTATATTTATACATTTCCAGCAAAATATTTTAAAATCAAGTGAGAAAAAAAAAGTTTGCCACATCTCTGGAGTAGCAACTCTTAAATACTTTTTATTTAACATATAATACCTGTATGACTTTATTTCAATAGTTGAAGTTTATTATATGAATGTCATGTTAAATACTGTATGTTGTATCAATTATATATGTTATGTGTATATGCCCCCCTGGGGACCTAATTTGGAAAATAAAACTTATCTTATCTTATCTTATCTTATCTTATCTTATCTTATCTTATCTTATCTTATCTAAAACTTATCTTATCTTATCTTATCTTATCTAAAACTTATCTTATCTTATCTTATCTAAAACTTATCTTATCTTATCTTATCTTATCTTATCTGTAAGTATCTGTAATCATACATAAACATATGATTCTGAATATTGATTAAGTATGATTAAAAACATTATTATGACATTAACACTTTCTTTATTGTATTTTGTATATTTTTTTTTTATTTTTTTTTCATTTTGTATATTCTTGTTATATTATGAATTGACAAGGACAATTGTGTTTTTACATTATGACTGATTGAAAGGCACAATAAATGTTTTATTAAAATGTTAAACCTTATTTGAAAAAGATGTTACTATAACGTTCTTTATTTCATTTGTTGTATTAGTAAACTGATTTTTTGTTTTTGACCAGTATTATGACATTTTTATTTTCCTGGAATTTATCATTTCTTAGGATAGTTATAATGCATTTGCTCTTGAAAAAAATTCGAGTCCCTCAGTCTATCATCATTTCATATTTTGACTTTTAAATGGCTGGTAACAAATATATTGTTGATGTTGTTAGTTAATTCTATGCAATAATGGTATATTGTACATATACTATTTGTGCTTAAATAAAGATATCAATACTTACTCAAAATTTATCAATTTTAAAAGACATTGAGAATATTGTACCATTACAGGTTATTCATATATATGTAAGGTAGTAGCCAACCTCTGTATTCTACCTTGAAGATGGTGCATTTGTTACTACACAACCAAGAAGATACTGAGCTTTGTCATCATTGTGTTACTCCTAGGGACATTTCAACCCAGGGTCAACACAAAACTCTGCAGCTTTACACGTGATAAATGATAAATAACAACATGTTGGCATTCCATTAATCGCTAGCTGGCACTCCGGTAGAACAATAGCACTATTACATTCGATACTGATTTCCATGCTTCCGGCATGTATTACTTTTAAAAATGAATTTCGCTTTGAAGCATGAAATAATTATAAAGGATACAGGTTTTTATTGATTTCTTAAGTAAGATCTAAATGTTCTTTCACAGTAATAATGCAAGAAATATATATTTTTTCTAGATTTTCCCCTTGGAAATCAATCTTTTAGAGCTTCGTCCCATTTTGCTCATATTACAAGATAACACTCCACCCTTTCATGCCACTTCATGTGTTTTTAATCTGCCCCACTTGTTATTAATCTGATGAAATACCGATATTTGTGCAATTTGAGTTATTTCGCTTGTCCTATACACATTTTCTGATATGTTTTTCTGATATATTTTTATCTACTTATCATGAAATAGAAACACATAGTTTTGTTTATAAAAAGAAATGCAATACGTGATCCAATGATCCATACATGATTACACTGCAAATGACATGTATCTGTTTTGGTAATAAAGTGTACACTGACCACAGTGTACATTGTGACAGTCAGAACTGGTAATACTCGATTTTTTAGTCACATTGTGCATTAAGTCATAGGAGATTTGCAATCACTACTCGACCGTCGTCGTTTTCGGATTTAACCGTCAAATGATAGCAAACCTTACATGTTTATTCCTTTTGGCTTCTTGATTATAAATTATATTAGAGCATGGATTTGATGCATCTCTTTACGTTATCTCTGTTATTAAAATAGTATGCAGGGGGTCAAATTGTATTAATATCTCGAAAATTTAAAACATGAGGTCAAAGGACAGTTTCGTCAAACTGATCAGAATACCATTATATACCAATGTTTCCAAATGTTCAGATTATAAGTGGACCCCTTATAGCAGCGTTTGCACTGAAACAATTTGTAATCTCTTAGCATGTGTGTTTTGAATATTATCTTGAAAACTTTAAAGATAAAAAAGGAGAAGCTGTAAATAGCCAAAATCTTCAGCAAATCAAGATTTAAATACTTAAGAGTATAAGTCAAAGTTCCTCTATAAGAAACATCCTTTTCATCGATTTAACCCTTTCCTTTTGAAAGTCCAAATTGTTTTCGTTAAGTCTTGATTCTATGATATGTTTCGACTTAAAGATGTGGTTAAAGATAATATTGATAGTTAGGATACACTCATTGTAATTGTAAACGTGCCTCAAATCTCCATTTACTGTTTCATATTGAGTAACTTGAGATCACAACTGCGCGACTGAAGTGATGATATCAGCTTTCAAATTATAAAATTTTCATTTTTATGCAGCAACATTCCAGTAGCGCCTGACTAATTATGAAGTATACATCTTGAAACTACAAGCGTTTCTTCTCACGATTTTTCTGATAGAGAGTTGCTGCTTACAAGGAAGCAATTGAACCAAGCATTCTAAGTTGTAACTTTTTCAAGGATATTTTAGATTCGTTTTAGAATAAAATTGTGCGAAAAAAGGATTATTTTAGCTTTAAATTTAAGTATATATATCAAAGTTGGTTTAACATCCCAACGCTTGCGTTTTCTACCGTGATTTCTTTAATAGAGGGTTGCTGCTTACAAATTCGCTGTTTGACAACTTCACCTTGTGAGCAACAACCCTCTATCAAAGAATCATGATAGGAAACTCAAACCCTAGAATATCGTTTCAACTGGGAGATATATCTCCATATGCAGATATGCAGGCGATGTTGGAATGTTTCTTCATAGAAATTGAAATTTAAATTGGGAAGCTGAAATCATCTCTTTCGTCGTAGAGTTTTATTCTCAACCGACCCTCATTGTCAATTTTAGATGTTAGTCAAGATACGAAGCAGACTTAACTGTGTCTGTATCCTTTGTTTCAAGTTCGATGGGATTGATGCGTTCAACTACGAACTATTTAGTGAGAGGACATCATCAATATAACAGAAATTGATGTGAAAGAATAATGCGTTAAGGGGGCCTTTTTTAAACTTGTTAGTATCCTTCGAAACAAAACATGCTATGATTTAAATAAAAGGACGTTTAAGGTAAACGACAATACGATAGTATTCAAAATACACAAAAAATCGGAAGATATCTTGAAGTCAATATACACGAGATAACAAACAGGAACAAGAAAAATGCGATAATAAACATACAAGAAGATTTGTCATAGAAAACCCCGTAAAAATTAACCACTCCGAATAAACACAGATATTTAATGTACACTAATATAAGGAAAAGCTTAAAGAACTCTGATGTCGAGGAAAAGGAAATACAAAATATATATCTGAAAGGAAAAGTCGTCTTAACAGTATATAATCCACTAGACACTTAACGTATGTTTCAATAAACGGTAAACTACAGGCTCCATGGGCCTAACATAGTGAAACGTTGTTGCAGTCACAACAATTGATTTTACACAACAACTTGCAACAAGAAACATATTGGACGAACAAAAAAGTAATACTCGTAAATGTATATTTTTCTTATGGATGCGCCATCTATAAGAAAAACATGAATATCTAAAGAAAACCAATTGTTGTGACTGCAACAACGTTTCACTATGTCAACACCCGTAAAGTCAAAATATCGTTTTTTTCAAATAAAAAATAATACAAAAATAAGAAAATGTAATTTGATTGCGAATGAGACATCTTTTTAACAGAGACCAGTTCTCTTTGAATATGATTAATCGCATGCGATGGCTTTATGTGTCTCAGCCATAGGTGGCTTTGACAGATTTTGCAAACTTATTTCGTTTGTCGTTCCAATGTTCGTGAACTTCATCATTGATTTGAACTGTTCCTGAGCGTCACAAGTGATACGCGCATATGGCGTTTTAAATAAAGACATAAAGAGTCATCGAGATATAGCTGATGCTAAAATGTTTAATACTCAAGCTCAAATGGCGCTTACGTTATCTTTAACTCTGAATGTTTTTTTGCTATATAAAATTAAGGAGATGCGGTATGATTGCCAATGAGACGACTATCCATCAAAGTTCACAAGAAGTGGATGTAAGCAATTATAGGCAACCGTACAGCCTTCATCAATGAGAAAAACCCATACCGTAAATTCGGCTATAAATGGCCCCGACATGAACAATATGAAACATATAATAATCTGCAAATAGAGATACTATCTACTAAAATACTACTTTATCATAATTATTCGGCAGTTTATTTGAAAAGAAAAGTATCCATTCAACGCTTTGTTAAAAATTATATGAACACTATTTGTTTATGCAGTTGATCCTATATTAATTATTTTGAGGTTTTTCCGTAAGAATGTACATAACGTACCACATTTTGTCTTCAAGCACAAGGAACACTTGAGATATTTTCGTTGCTAGTCAAGTAATAACCTGCAAATAGCTTAACATACCAAAATAAATTATACAATATAACAATCTTCCTGCAGTTTTTAAATAAAAGTTTAAATGCAATTTCATTTCTTTTCGGAATTATTTGCACTCTTTTTGCTCACGTGCATTGATTCTTTTCTGAACATTTTGAGTTAATTCCACAAAGAAAAATATGTAATTTACCACTGCTCATATCGTACTGGAACTGTTCCGACATTATATAAGTTAAAAAAAAACCCAAACATACAACTCATAAAATGACCCCTTTTGTGTTGCTGATTTATTTCATAGATTTACCAACGATACGTCATGAAATGCGCAAAGGTATTATTCAGACATCATTAGATCTTTACATCTAAAAGTTTGATTTGATAAACGTACTTTGAAGATTTTTTTATCCCAATTAATGATTGAACAGACCACTGTCATGTAAATTCTACACATGCAGGCTATGTCCGTTGGTCTTTAGGGGCCTCTTAACACTGGTGTTAAACTGATAATCGTAACTGGACGATCCCAATATGGCGACGGCAGAAATAGGTAAAATCTTTTCAGTCATTTTTCTCAAATGTAGCCCGTTGTTGTCAAGAGTTACTCAGCTGCAAGGTTTTTCTATACCATTACATCATATTTGAATCGTAACGGTGCACTATAATTGTCTAAGCGCTTAGAAAATTGCCGTCGAAAAATTCGGGATGATAATCGTAACTCGCAAAAATGATAATCGTAATTTCGGTATTAATAAATAATAAGATAATCGTAACTGGATAGTGTTTGATTGGTATTGACACGAAAAACGTCTATCTAATAGCATATGATGAAAATATGGTGATGAATTAATCACGAAAACGTTCCCACATCTTATGACATTTCTTGTTGTGCATGTATGATTAACAGTTCTAATGTAAACAGCTAAATACTACTTACCTTATTGCGTACTGACTTTCCGAATGTCCAACAGGTAGCTTACCAAAAACTCCTGTCTAGCTTAAATGCTTCATTCAACCTTAATGAAGTAACTATTCATCACATAGAAAAGAACGGAACAGTTATAATTATTTTATTGGACAGCACTAAAGCATTCGACACAGTACCTCCTGATGGACTACGTATTAAACTTTTTGAATATGGTGCGACCGGAAAATTATGGTTACTATTAGATAACATGTACACATATTTATCAAGTGCTATTCTATCTGGTGGAAAACTTTCGACATGGTTTAAACTGAACCGTGGTGTGCGTCAAGGCAGTGCTTTATCTGCCAAGTTATATCTGATCTTTATTAACGATTTGATAAATGAACTTGAATCTAGCAACAAAGGAGCATTCTTATATGACATTAATAGTAGTTCTCCCGTTCAGGCTGATGTCATTTCG